TCTTTCCATAACCTTTTGGCCTATCAATATTCTGCTCTCAGGTCGTACCTCTTCCATCAATCTTTTTGCTTTGCCTTCAGCTGGTCGTATATGTCACAAGTTTTAGAATGTAAGAAATCTACCATGCACAGTTTGATCTGTCACCATAATTTGGTCAATTGAGACATCAAAAGTGGGCTAATATCAATCAAGTGTGACTTTTAATTGGCAAGATCCAAATGTTTAATCTTTTTTTATATTAATAATTAGCACCAACATATTTACCTATACAGTTGAAATGACAGCTTCAATAAAGTTTGTTAAAGTTAGTTGATCAGATTTAATTTTAAAATGCCAAATTCTATGGCAATCTCAAATAAGGAGATCTGGTTTTTATGATGTGTCTGATTTGGATAATCAAGGTTCCTAGTTGCACAGATTGAGATGCAACCAAAGTAAGGCTAATAAATTGAACTAATGTCCATTAGTATTGAACAATCTGCTTATTTGTTTAATGTTCTTGTTTTTTTCTCTTTATATGAATAAAGGAAAGAAAATATACCTATCCAGAAATATACCAGCCTGGAACAATAAGGGCAGACATGGTTTAGGAGGATAGGGCCACTAACAAAATACTAGCCTGGTGATTAGAGTGTTACTAAACCTACAACAGTAAAATCAGTCTGTATATGCAGTAAAGCATGCTTGTTATACTCACTGTGGAACCTAAGGGGTTAATCCTCTGCATTGTGTAAAAAGGCTGTATGATCCTGTCTTCTCTGATCCTCCCCTTCTTTTGCTGTCCCCAATCCATCTGCCATAATTAGAGCAGCAGTGGCAAGTCTGCACATGCTCTGTTTGGTGTGTATTGCTGGAGAGTTTTTTGCTTGCGAGGGTGCATGTGATAGGTAGTGATATCCTTCACGATCAAATTGAAAGTAAGTTCGACTCGAACATCAGCCATTCGTGTGTTCTGCACTGCGCTCTAACAGTGCATTGTGATTGGACAAAGCAGTGCACCTGACCACAAGTCAGGTGCAATGCTTTGGCCAATCACAGCACAATTGCACAGAGTTAGTGGTAACATCACCACTAGCTCTGCCCAATTGTTTACATCTGAACGGCAACTGTCAGACCTGTCAGATGTGGTGAGTGCTCAGTGGGTGCGACCGGGTCGGCGGGCAGCATTTTTTTTTATTTTGGCAAGTTGGCATCATTGTGACAATGCTGGACGCTGGGGTTGATGATAGATTTTAACAATGGAACCATTTTTTTGGCTTTTTTGTTAATAAAGGACTTGTCAAAAAACTATTGTGTTTTTATTCACATTTTACAGTTTTTTGGTGAATGGGTAGGCGTACTATGTACCCCTTATGTATTCACAAGGGGGGGTGGGATCTGGGGGCTTCCAGATTCCGATAAGTCACTCCCCCGCAGACCCCCACAACCACAGCCCAGGGTTGTGGGGAAGAGGCCCTTGTCCCCATCAACATGGGGACAAGGTGCTTTGGGGGGGAGCCTACCCCAAAGCAGCCCCCTCATGTTGAGGGCATGTAGCCTGGTATGGTTCAAGAGGAGGGGGGCACTTGCTCATCCCCCCCCCCCCTTTCCTGATCTTTGAGGCCTGTGCTCTGATCAAAAGTCTGGTAGGAATATAGGGGGGACCCCAAGCTTTCCCCCCATTTTTGGGGGGGGTGGGATTCCCCTTAAAAGTCCTACCAGGCCTGAAGGGCCTGGTATGGCTTTTAGAGGGAACCCAAAGCACTTTAAAAAAAAAAATTACTGTGGGGTTCCTCCTAACCTTCCTACCAGACCTAAATGGTCTGTTAAGGATTAGGGGGACCCCCATTTTTAAATGTCAGTCCTGCTTCAGCAGGGTATATACATATGCAACTTTGCAGGTAGTTTTAGGGGACGCCCCCAGGTATGATAGGTAAAGGAATTTTTAATTCTATTTTTTTTACTTTAAGCAACGGTAACTTTTTGAAATTTTCTTTTTCACTGATTCATGTCCCTCAGGGCAGTACCCGAGACCCCATACCCCTTTTATGCCCAATAACGTGCATATAAGCCTTCAAAATGGGCACTTTTGAATTTACAAGTTTGAGTCCCATAGACTTGCATTATATTCGAAGTTCGCAGTCGAACCTTCGTTAGGTTCAAAAGTTTGACCACAAACCGAACAGGGGGGTGTTCGGCCCATCACTAGTGATTGGCACAGGGCCAATCAGCGATGTACAGACAGGTCAGGGCTTATGCAGCCTCATAGGACAGTTGAAAGAGAATGAAAACTCCTCCTACAAGATTAACCAGTGCTTGGATGGACACTGATAGAAGTCATAAGACTGCTATATACTGCAGATGAGAGAAGGTATTTAGCAGTTTATATTTACTAAAACAATTGCATTTCTTTTTTCTGTGTACTGTGGAAGACTGGATACAGTAAATGCAGGGCCATGGGTTTAGCAATACTTTAAAGTGGAAGTAAGGTCTAAATTTGTAAGTTGTACCTACAAGTAAGCCTGGACTCACACAGCATGCAGCTGTTGATGTCACTAGCGCATGCGTTCTGAAGGGACAGCACAGCATGCCAGGAGTGATGCCATTGCAGCTTTGGCCATTCATACTCTGGGAGCCCATGAATCTGAAAGGAAGAACGAGTGAAGATGGCGGCACTGGGGGGGCCGTGACAGTGTGGCACTGGAGGGCCCTGTGTACAGGTAAGTCTGTCATAAGGTACTAGTATGCAGTGCATACTAGTACATTATGACCTAAACCTGCAGGAGGGCCATTTTTTTTTTTCAGGTGGTTCACTACCACTTTAAATTGAAAAAAAAATTAGATAAGAGTTTGGCTCATGTATGTTAGCCAGACATCTCCCACAAAGTGACCACTTGCCAAATTAACAAGGGAGACTGCACAAACCTTGTAATTATAAAACGAAAAAGTGCTGACCCGCACTTTTTTGTTTTATATGTTTTATGTATTGTTACCTGCGATACTGTGTTGGCTGCTTTTTGTTGATCTTAATCTCTATGTGATATTCAAATCAATATAGCGCACAAGTGTTCAATTGTTAAACCTTGTAATTGCTAAATTGCTTATACACGAGCAAAAGAAAAACAACTTGGAAAAGTAAAAGGACAACTGAAAGCCAAATCTTCTTGGATCCTAGCAGTGCTCCTATGTTCAACCTTACATTTGAACCAAAGTAATACAGATATAAAACAGTTCAAGGGTCACGGCTTAATAAAATCAGCTCTGTTGACAAACCACACTAATTCCTTTCATTTCTAGCCAAAGCCAAATGTTCTGAGAATCTACACTAATTCCTTTTTATCCCAAAAAGTTTCCACAAAAGGAAGAATAAGTAACAGCATAATAAACATCTCTGCCAAACACATTTACACTAGTTCTATGGGGGATGTTTAGCTTCCTGTCATTTGCCACAAGAGTTTGGGTTTGTACTCTTTATTCCATGCTGTTACAGTGCTGTATCTTCATTGCATGCCAATTAGCAAACAAATCCTCAATTTATTAAACTGGCTTATCCATAAACCCAGATTATGTAGTATATAAATTTACAACATACTCATTCACCCATGGCCCCAAAGTAGGCTTTATTTTCTACCAACTCAGGTCTCAAAGTTATTATTTTGTCTGGAAACTCTGTTGACTAAAATACATATGATACATGGACAGGCCAATACAAGGTATCACACTTTATCACAGACGTGAAGATTCTAGCCAACTTTCTGGAGTATGGGAGATAAGGGATTTTTTTTTTTATTATTGTGTTACTTATCTGACTGCAGACTAGTCATTACAGATGATAGTAATGTGAAATGAGTCCCAGACTTGGTCGCAGCCTGCTGTGATAGAAATTGATGTCAGTATCTCTGTCACAGCAGAATGCACAAGAATTCCCTTCAATTTCTGCTATGTTTATTGAATGCATTTTGCATTGCTAACAAAAATAGGCTGATTTTGTCAAATGTGTTAAGCTGTTTTTTTTAGCAACAAATATAAAATACTCAGGCATTTTCCTGTTTAAATCTGCCTCCAGCAACTTTTGATATTGCAATATTGTGGTTTATAAACCTTAAAATAAAATAAAATGCTCCTATTCTAAAAACGGTTAATAGTACAATGGCAAAAATAATGTATTCAGGGGGTAGAAGCTGACAGGTAAAGCAGGATGTATGTGTATTATTTAGTCAAGTACAGTAGGAAATGAAAGTAAATTAACTCTGTCAGGAGAGGAACATGAAGGAATCATTTGTTGACCATTCTGAAAATGCTCTTTCCCTGACTGCCATTTTTACTCTCTTGCCTCAATACTTTGAGTTTCTGATTTGGAACAAATATGTAGATACTGTAGGAAAGTTTTGGTTTTACAATGGCTTGGAAGAGAACATGGGATTGGTTGATTGGAGAGAGAGAGAGAGAGAAAAAAAAGCACCAAAATGAGCTGTTAAAATGGGGGAGAGAGGAAGCAGTGAACTCAGACTGTGGAAAGTGGGGAGAAGCAGTGTAGGGGCTGGCTAATGGGTCAACTTTTGCTCCTTTGAATAACTAGAATATACAAAAGATATAATATATAATGGGGTAGAAGTTTTAAAAAATGGGTAAGCTTAATACCCCATTCAGACCTCAGAGTGAGAATAAAGGTGGCGATATATACCGCTTAAATTTCAGCCAGTTCCTGCTGAATTGAACAAAATTGAGCCCTGGGCTGCCCTGTCAGCACTACCTGACTCAATCTCTTAAAAATTTGAAGGATCTATGTGTATGTATTCAGAAAAATGCAGGTGCTGTGGTTGTCTGAATATGATAGCTGGCAGGAGGGATTCTATTTAGAATCTATTAGATTTATTTCCTTCAGTTGTGGACTGAACAAGACAAATCTAGGTACACTATATTGCCAAAAGTATTGGGCACCCCTCCAAATCATTGGATTCAGGTGTTCTAATAATCTCCATGGCCACAGGTGTATAAATCAAGCACCTAGGCATGCAGACTGCTTCTGTAAACATTTGTGAAAGAATGGGTGGCTCTCAGGAGCTCAGTCAATTCAAGCGTGGTGCCGTGATAGGTTGCCACCTGTGCAACAAGTCCATATGTGAAATTTCCTTGCTTGCTATGTGAAATTTCCATGGTCAACTGTTAGCGGTATTATAACAAAGTGGAAGCAACTGGGAACAACAGCAACCCAGCCACAAAGTGATAGGCCAGGTAAAATGACAGAGCGGGGTCAGCACATGCTGAAGCACACAGTGCGCAGAAGTCGCCAACTGTCTGCAGAATCAATGGCTAAAGACCTCCAAACTTCATATGGCTTTCAGATTGGCACAACAACAGTGTTTAGAGAGCTTCATGGAACGGGTTTCCACGGCCGAGCAGTTGCATCCAGGCCTTACATCACCAAGTGCAATGAAAAGCAACAGATGCAGTGGCATAAAGCACACCACCACTGGACTGTAGAGCAGTGGAGATGTATTCTCTGGGGTGATAAATCACACTTCTCTGTCTGGCAATCTGATGGACGAGTCTGGGTTTGGCGGTTGCCAGGAGAACGATACTTGCCTGACTGCATTGTGCCAAGTAAAGTTTGGTGGAGGGGGGATCGTTTTTCAGGGATTGGGCTTGCTCCCTTAGTTCCAGTGAAGGGAACTCTAAATTCGTCAGCATTCCAAAATATATATATACGTGATTCTACACTTCCTGGTAGGGCATGCAAGCGCACCCCTGGTGCTTTGATTAGTCACAGCAGAAGCCAATCAGCAGGTGCCGGCCAATGGAAGACTGCCGGCACCCACTGATCGATGAGGAGCAAGACAGGACACAGCGCTGCCTATGTAAACAAGGCAGAGCTGTGTCCTGTCAGCGGTGATGTGCTGGATTTTGTTTACCTGCAAAGCAGGGAATCAAACCCAGCATGTACCTTAGTAAAAACACCACATACTACACATATAAACACTGGGTAGGCACACAGCTAACCCTTTGATTGATCTACATGTTTAACTGTTTCCCAGCCAATGTCATTAGTACAGTGACAGTGTATATTTTTAGCACTGATCACTGTATTAGTGTTATTGGTTCCCACAAAGTGTTAGTTAGTGTCAGATTGTCCACTGCAATATCACAGTCCCGTTATAAGTCACTGATCACTGCCATTACTAGTATAAAAAAAAAAAATTTAAACATTCCAGTATATACACCATAGTTTGTAAACATTTGTGCAAAGCAATCAATATACACTTATTGGGATTTTTTACCAAAAAATATGTAGCAGAATACATATTGTCATAAATTTATGATGAAATTAGATTTTTTTAATTTTTATTGGATATGTTTTATAGCAGAAAATAATATATACAGGTGAAACTCAAAAAATTAGAATATCGTGCAAACGTTCATTTATTTCAGTAATGCAACTTAAAAGGTGAAACAAATATATGAGATAGACTCATTACATGCAAAGCAAGATAGTTCAAGCCGTGGTTTGTCATAATTGTGATGATTATGGCTTACAGCTCATGAAAACCCCAAATCCACAATCTCAGAAAATTAGAATATTGTGAAAAGGTGCAATATTCTAGGCTCAAAGTGTCCCACTCTAATCAGCTAATTAAGCCATAACACCTGCAAAGGGTTCCTGAGCCTTTAAATGGTCTCTCGGTCTGGTTCAGTAGGAATCACAATCATGGGAAAGACTGCTGACCTGACAGTTGTGCAGAAAACCATCATTGACACCCTCCATAAGGAGGGAAAGCCTCAAAAGGTAATTGAAAAAGAGAAGTTGGATGTTCCCAAAGTGCTGTATCAAAGCACATTAATAGAAAGTTATGTGGAAGGGAAAAGTGTGGAAGAAAAAGGTGCACAAGCAGCAGGGATGACCACAGCCTGAAGAGGATTGTCAGGAAAAGGCCATTCAAAAGTGTTGGGGACTTTCACAAGGAGTGGACTGAGGCTGGAGTCAGTGCATCAAGAGCCACCACACACAGACGAATCCTGGACATGGGCTTCAAATGTCGTATTCCTCTTGTCAAGCCACTCCTGAACAACAAACAATGTCAGAGGCATCTTACCTGGGCTAAAGAAAAACAGACCTGGTCTGTTGCTCAGTGGTCCAAAGTCCTCTTTTTCTGTTGAGAGCAACTTTTGCATCTCATTTGGAAACCAAGGACCCAGAGTATGGAGTAAGAATGGAGAGGCACACAGTGCAAGATGCTTGAAGTCCAGTGTGAAGTTTCCACAGTCTGTGTTGGTTTGGGGAGCCATGTCATCTGCTGGTGTTGGTCCACTGTGCTTCATTAAGTCCAGGGTCAACACAGCCGTCTACCAGGAGATTTTGGAGCACTTCATGCTTCCTTCCACAGATGAGCTTTATGGGGATGCTGACTTCATTTTCCAGCAGGACTTGGCACCTGCCCACACTGCCAAAAGCACCAAAACCTGGTTCAATGACCATGGGATTACTGTGCTTGATTGGCCAGCAAACTCGCCTGACGTGAACCCCATAGAGAATCTATGGGGCATTGCCAAGAGAAAGATGAGAGACATGAGACCGAACAATGCAGAAGAGCTGAAGGCCGCTATTGAAGCATCCTGGTCTTCCATAACACCTCAGCAGTGCCACAGGCTGATAGCTTCCATGCCACACCGCATTGAGGCAGTAAGTGCTGCAAAAGGGGCACAAACCAAGTACTGAGTACATATGTATGCTTATACTTTTCAGAGGTCTGATATTGTTCTATGTACAATCCTTGTTTTATTGATTGCATGTAATATTCTAATTTTCTGAGATTGTGGATTTGGGGTTTTCATGAGCTGTAAGCCATAATCATCACAATTATGACAAATCACGCCTTGAACTATCTTGCTTTGCATGTAATGAGTCTATCTCATATATTTGTTTCACCTTTTAAGTTGCATTACTGAAATAAATGAACTTTTGCACAATATTTTAATTTTTTGAGTTTCACCTGTATATATATATATATATATATATATATATATATATATTTTTTTTTTTTTTTTTTTTTTTCAAAATGGTCACTCTTTTTTTGTTTATAGCTGAAAAAAAACCCCAGTAGTGATCAAATACAACCAAAAGAAAGATCTATTTGTGGGCAAACAATTACATAAATTTATGTACAGCTTAGCATGACCACGCATTTGTCAGTTAAAGTAACACATTGTTGTATAGCAGGCATCACTAAATGGCGGACCGAATGACAATCCTAATTGGATCACGGCTCCGACACTTAGCAGCCTGGATGTTCTCTGCATCTGATATCCTCCTACCTCCCTCCCCCCACCGCCGAGCTGCCGCTGGCGCCACGGCATTCATCTTTTTAGAAGGCAGAAGGCACCCAACTTTTCAAGTTAAACAGCCAGTCATTGGTTGCATCCTAGCAAGAAATCACCTGCCTGTTAACATGAAAAGCATGTCCCACCCTCTGTACAGGCATGCCGTGCCTTTTGCCTTCTATCTGCTGTGTAAGGTAGGAACAAAAAACAAAAAAGAGGGTTGTGAATGGCAGAGGGGAAATATACGGGAGGGTGCATTCATATAAAGGTAACTGGGCTGCAATGAAAGAAGGAGCGGGAGAAGGGCTGTGAAGGGGACCAGTATACAAAAATTGGGAATTGTAAAAGGGACTGGGGTGCAAGAGGGGACTGAGATGCAAGTAAGGTAGTCTGTAATGGTACTCGGTGCAAGGAAGGGGGGCTGTGAAGTGGACTGGAGTACAAGGAAGGGGAGTTGTAAAGGGGAATGGGGTGCAAGGAAGGGAGGAACTGTGAAGGAGACTGAGATGTAAGTAAGGAGGGACTGTAAAGGGAACTGGGGTGCAAAAAGGGGGGCTGTGAAGAGGACTTTGATGCAAGGAAAGGGAATTGTGAGGAATGGGGTGCAAAGAAGGGGGATTGTAAAGGGGTCTGAGATGTAAGTAATGAGGGGGCTGTAAAGGGGACTGGGGTGCAATAAAGGGGAGCTGTGAAAGGAACTTGGGTTTAAGTAAGGGGTGAGGGGCAGTGAAGGGGGCTGAGATGCAAGTAAGGTTCTAAAGAGGACTGGGGTACAAGGAAGGGGGAGTAAGGAGGGACTGTAAAGGGAACTGGGGTGCAAAAAGGGGGGCTGTGAAGAGGACTTTGATGCAAGGAAAGGGAATTGTGAGGAATGGGGTGCAAAGAAGGGGGGATTGTAAAGGGGTCTGAGATGTAAGTAATGAGGGGGCTGTAAAGGGGACTGGGGTGCAATAAAGGGGAGCTGTGAAAGGAACTTGGGTTTAAGTAAGGGGTGAGGGGCAGTGAAGGGGGCTGAGATGCAAGTAAGGTTCTAAAGAGGACTGGGGTACAAGGAAGGGGGGCTGTGAAGTGGACTGGGGTGCAAGGAAGGGGGGTTATAAAGAGGACTAGGGTGCAAGGAAGGGAGGAACTGTGAAGGGGACTGAGATGTAAGTAAGGAGGGGCTGTAAAGGGGACTGGGGAGCAAAAAAGGGGGACTATGAAGAGGATTTCTGTGCAAGGAAGGGGGGCTGTGAAAGGGAGTTGGGTGTAAGTAAGTGTGGGAGCTATGAAGGGGACTGAGATGCAAGTAAGGGGGGGGCTGTAAAGGGGACTGGGGTGCAAGAAAGAGGGGCTGTGAAAGGGACTTGGTTGTAAGTAAGGGGGCAGGCTGTGAAGGGGACTGAGATGTAAGTAAAGGGGGCTGTAAAGGGGACTAGGGTGCACAAAAGGGTGGTTGTGAAGGGGACTGGGATACAAGGAAGGGGGGCTGTGAAGGAGACTGAGATGCAAGTAAGGGGGGCTGTAAAGGAGACTGGGGTGCAAGAAAGGGGGGCTGTGAAAGGGACTTGGGTGTAAGTAAGTGGGGAGGCTGTGAAGGGGACTGAGATGCAAGTAAGGTTGTAAAAAGGACTGGGGTGCAAGGAAGGGTGGGCCTGTAAAGGAACTGAGATGTAAGTAAGGAGGGCTGTAAAGGGGACTAGGGTGCACAAAAGGGTGGCTGTGAAGGGGACTGAGATGCAAGTAAGGGGGGGTGTAAAGGGGACTGGGGTGCAAGGAAGGGGCGCTGTGATGGGTACTGGGATTTGTGTAAGGGGGCTGTGATGTAAAGGGGTGACAGAGGACACTGATGTGAAGGGGAGGGGGACTGTGATGTGAGGTGTGGGACTGAGGACACTGATGTAAAGGTGGGGGAGTTGTGATGTGAAGGGGAGACAAAGGACAATTAAGTAAAGGAGGCACTGTGATGTAATATGGGGGGATTTGAATGCAAAGGGGGGCTGTGAAGTAAAGCAGGCACTGTAATGTAAAAAAAGGGGCTTTAATGTAAAGGGGGGTGCTGTGATGTAAAGAGAGGGTTCAGAAATTTTAAAGGTAGTACTGTGGTATAAAAGGGGGCTGTGATGCGAAGAGGGCTGTGATGTAATGGGGAAACTGTAATGTAAGGGGGTGGGGCTGTGATATGAAG